TGATCGATGTGCTCCTGGATGGTATGATAATCCAATTAAGGAAGAGGACCAAATCCTACCAACACTTCGGAGAGGTTTACATTTCTAACGTATTGATCTTGACAAAGATGACGTAAAACTCACAATGTGCTATTTCAGGGAAGACATTGGTGTGAACTGGTTAATGAGTGTCATCGACTCAAAGATCATTTAAGATTAGTTCCTGCATGAGAAAACCTCAACTGCCCTAAACTTCACAGCTCACATAGGAAAGAAACTGATAGAAGTACTCCAAATTTGACAACAGTTTTAAAGGGTCATAAGGGTGGGTGGACGTGGCCAGGGCATGTGGATGCGGCCAGGGTGGGTTCACTCAGAACCCTTCCCCTCCAGTAGGCCAGTCCTTCAGTGGAGGCTCCTGTTGGCCCAGGGAGCGTTGCTGAGCTGAGCTGAACTGACACACTTAGTCAAGGCGAGATCAGGAAGCCGGTGACTTGACAAAGCCACTGTAATAATTTTCTATGCTGCGTCACAGCGACCACAGACATAACAGCTTTCAACACCCATGCTGATCACGTCATAGTCTTGGTGGGTCAGGGGTCTGGCCTGTGTGCCTGGGTCTTCTGCGTCAGGGTCTCACAGGGCTGCAGTGGAGGTGTCCACTGGTGCTTTCTCACCTGGGGGCCAGTCTAGGGAGGGTCCGCTTCCAGCCTTGCTCAGGTTGTTGGCAGAGTTCAGGTCCTCGTGGCTGCAGGGCTGAGGACTCTGCCGTGTGGTCGCTGTCAGCTGGGGTGCCCGTGGCTCCCCCCGCATTGGAAAGAGGTCCACAGCTCCCCTCTCCTTGGCTCCCCCTCTCTGGGTGGAGGCCACTGGGCCTCTCCTTGGAGTTCACGGCTCGGCAAATTGTCAGAGCCAGCAGAACTGGTGGGCCACTGTGTGATGGGCCGTGTGATGCAAGGCCACCAAGAGTGACGCTGTCACCTCAGCTGCCTTCTACTGGCTAGAAGCAGGGCGCGGGTCCCACCTGTACTCTGGGACAACACCAAGGGGACACACCAGGAGGCAGTGCAGGTTGCTGAGGCCACAAGGTGCCCAGAGTTGAGCCCCTGTCCCTCCTGAGGGAGGGGTGTTCCCAGAGATGAAGACGTGCAGGCATATGCTTCAGCAGCTAGTTGTGCACGGGATCAGTGGGAACATCATACCGTCTCCCCATTATGGTCAGTGTCTAACTAGTGTCACTGAAAGTAGCCAGGTGCTGCCCTCCCCCAATCACCACTATGACACATTCTGTCACTGTGACACAGGCTTCTTTGCCGCCACTTGCCTGGGCTGCTTCCCGGGGAAGCCATCTCCTCAGGGCACCCAGCGTCACCTAGAGCCATGGTGAAGCTCGAACACACAGTGGACACAGGGAGGGGTCCCCTCACCCATTTCCCCATAGCCTAGGGGCCCTGTGTCCCCCCTAGGCCTCACCCTGGGCCCTGGACAGCACTGCGGCACTGGCCACGCCATCCCCACACTGGCTCCCCTGCCCCTGGCCCTGGTCTCCCACCCTGTCTGTGCGGTGGTCTGATCAGTCCTTGCCCACGTGTCTCGGGCATGTGAGGCCACAGAGACACGACTGCAAGCATGGAGAGCACGTCTTGGACCCACATGTCCAAAGTCAAGCTCTGATCCCTCCAATCTGCATCCTGCTGCTGTCCTGGCTCGGGGACAGCAACTGCATCTGTCTTAGTTATCTATAACTGTGCTGCTATAACAGAAATGCCACAAGTGGATGGCTTTAACAAACAGATTTATTCTCTTAAACGGTTTAGGAGGCTAGAAGTCCAAATTCAGGGCACCAGCTCCCAGGGAAGGCTTTCTCTCTCTTTTGGCTGTAGGGGGAGGTCCTTGTCATCAATCTTCCCCTGGTCTAGGAGTTTCTCAGCGCAGGGACCCTGGGTCCAAAGGTTGTGCTCCACTCCCGGCTCTTCTTTCTTGGTGGTAGGAGGTCCGTCTCTCTCTACTCGCTTCTCTCTCCTTTTATCTCGTGTAAGATAAAAGGTGATGCAGGCCACACCCCAGGAAAACACCCCTTACATCGGATCAGGGATGTGACCTGAGTAAGGGTGTTCGTCCTCTCCTAATCCCCTTATGACTGACAGATCACATCATGAGGTATGATTACATAACTGCCAAACCACTGAGAATCATGGCCCAGCCAAGCTGACAAATATTTCTGGGGGACACAGTTCTATCTGTGACACCATCCTCCAGGCTGAGACCAGAAACACTGGGGTAAGCCTGGATGCCTCCTCTTCACACCCACGTCCAAGCTGCCCGCAAACCCTGATAGCGCTTCCTTCACAGTGTCACTGGATAAGCTGCAGCCTCACTGCAGCTGCTCCGCTGTCCTGCCCTGATCCCCATGGCCGTCCCCAGCACATGGCTGAGCCAGCAGTCACCACGGGTCACAGCCAGCCTCTGCCCTGCTGTGCTGGTCACACCCTACGATACTGGGGCGCCCAGCTTACCCAGGGCAGGAGCACTGAGTGACCTACCCCACCCTACCACCCTGTTACCCCCTGCCCTCCCCGCTGTTACCTGCATGGACTCCTGGTGGCTCCATGAACATGCGGACACCCCAGGCCAGCCCTGGCTCTGGCTGGTCTCTACGATGACGTGTTCCCTCAAGCTGCATGTGGCGACTCCTCACACCCTTGGTCTTGTCTCCTCTCACCTCCTCGGTGACCTGTCCTGATGCCCACTTAATAGCACAGTTTCAACCCCTCCCCACTGGAGGGCCTCACTATGTTCTGTCTGACGTGCTCACGTACCCTGTTCCTCCACACCCTCCTGTTATGGTGCGGAGGCTAGAAGGGAAGGCTGGATCTGCCTGTCCCTGCTACCTCCTGGCCTGGGCAGTGGCACGCACCACAGTATCTCCAGTGGTGAGGGGGGCAGGAGATGAGATGCTGCACCCTGGCACCCTCTACTGCTGTGCTCAGACCTGACCAACTGGGAACTCCTGGGATGGCCATGGGGCCTGGTGGCCTGAGTCTCGGTGCCATAGACCTGGCCAAGGTCTGGGAAGCAGGCAGCTGAAAACAGCCCAGTGCATCTCCCACATGGGCAAAGACGGAGAGGCCCTGACAGGCCATGCCTGGCTCTGTGGGGGCCACCAAGTCTGGGACAGGCTTCCCCATGGTCCTCAGCTTCACCCACGTGCTTGTGTGGGGCCACTGGGCACCTGGTGGCTCTAAGAGCGGTTGAGGGCCCAACTGGAGTCTGCCCTCCTGGAATTGCTGACCCTTGTGTGCCCCACCCGGAGCCCTGCTGGTACAGTGGTTAAGAGCTCAGCTGCTAACCAAAAGGTCAGCACTTCAAATCCACCAGCCACTCCTTGGAAACACTATGGGGCAGTTCTACTCTGTCCTATAGGGTCACTAGAGTCAGAATTGACTTGATGGCAACGGGTTTGGTGTTCTGGTTTCGTGTGCCCCATTTGCCTTCTAGAGGGCCCATCTGAGGTGGGGAGGAGTTGGCATCTTGACTGGGGGTTGGGATAGGTGCCACCCCATTGTCAGCCCTGTGGATTCCAGTGAGGTGGGGAACATTGTAGTGCCTGGCAGAGTGGGCTGTGGCACCCTTGCTGCCCAGAAAGAGGATGTGGGGCCCCAGCAGTAGGGAGGGGGCACAGGGCAGTCATCAGAGGTGAGCACAGACACGGACAGCTCTGAGAGGTGATGCGGGCGGTGGAGGCAAAGGCACTGGGAGCCTGAAGCAGAGGGACTGGGAAGGAAGAAGGGACGAACTGGAGGGCATGGGAGAAGGCCAAAGGGGAGAAGACCTGGGGAGGGGTGAGGAGAGGGGCAGGGATGAGGGTGAAGGGCAAATTAAGTCTATCCAGATAGCAAAACGACTTCACACAAGAGGACGCTGGGTTTACGGATGACAGAGTCTATGTACACGGAGGGGGGCGCCACGCATGGTGTTGGGAAGAATCTGGGGGTACACAGGCCCACGTCCCGGCCTTTGGTACCAGCTGGGTGTGGAGACACCAGTTCACAAGTGAGAGTGTGCCTGAAAGTGTGTGTACTGCGTGTCCACACTCGTGAGTGTATCCACATATGTGCACATGTGCAGGTGAGTGTGTGCACTACGTATGCATGCATGTGTGCATGTGTGTACACATGTGCATGTGTGTGGACACGCATGTGTGCATACACGTATGGGGTAATCTCGGCGCATCGGGAGGTGGGCATGTGGGGGACGCAGAGATGAGCCAGAGCTGGTTGGGCAGGAGTGACGACGTTTATTGAGCTCAGACACTGCGCCTCTTGGTGAGTCCAGCACCCCGAACCCTCCAGGGCATCATACCCATGCCTCCCCAGCTCGAGACATCCCAGTGAAGCCAGGCCCCCACACCCTCCCTACTCCACCCTGCTCCTGGGAACAGAACTCAGAGTCCTCAGAGCCCCTCCTCTCCTGCCTGTGGGACCAGAGGAACCATGCCCTGACCCTGTAAGATCTGACGCGGAAACCTGACTAAGACGGGCACGGGCTTCCGGTGAATAAAGTCAGCAGGATGGGATCCGGGAGAGGACGCGTCTCAAGGCAACCACGCTCTAGATGGCAGGGCAGGCGACAGTTCACACAAAGTGCTGCCAAAATGTCAACCCAACTCTAAAATGGTCACATTACACAACACTAAGGAACAATACTTCTAAAATGTCACACATGGGAACACCTCGAGTATTTAAAATAATTAACACCGCATGCCAATGCAGGGACAGACAGCTTAAACTAATACTGGAGAGCAGGGCTGAGGACAGAGCCTGGGGCGCAGGCGTGGCAGAGATACAGATACAGGTGTGTGTGTGAGTGCGCCCGCGCATGTGTATGGTATATATAATACTTCTGTCAGTAAAGAAATCCTATCTATAGCATATTTGCGGTGGGCAGACAGGATGCTGTAGGAGCAGGTGGAGGCGGTGGCTCAGGAGAGTGGTGGTGGGGAGGGAGGCGGCAGGTGGAGGTTAGAGCGCGCCCATTCCAGTGACCTCGGATGTGAGCCTGGAACAGACAAAGGACAGGGAGGGAGGAGAGCGCTGTGACAGTGTGCCGCATAAGACGGGGTAGAGGAGAGCCACACGGACAGGCGCGTCCTCCCAGCCACACGCCTGATTCCTTTTCACTGCAGCCACTGCTCCAGCCACAGCTGTGTGACCATGACGGAGCCCAGTCCCAGCAGGGCAGGAGGGAGGAGAGCCACGAGGCACCCTCCTGCCCACCAGGGGACCCCGTGTGCTAGTGGTCCTGTCAGATTCATGATAATAGCCCTCAACAAGTCTCTAAGGAAGGGAAGGCACCGTTGCTGGGGGCCACCACTACTGGCCGCTAGACAGGTCTGGTGAGAGTGGCTCCAATCATCATGATGTGGGGGCCGTGGCAGGATGGCTCAACCACCATCTGGGAGGGGGGGTGTCTTTATGACAGAGCAGAGTCACTTAGTGAACTATGGACGCTTTATGCTAACTTTGAGTCAACTGGAGTGTGTGGCTGGCTGAAGGCTCCACATTGTGCCAACCCCAGCCCCCCAACCCTGGCCCTGGCACGGCACAGCAGGCAGGAGGCAGCTGGGCTGTGCCAACTCCCAGCACGTGCTCGCAGCCCTGCACCCTTGCTGTGCCTGTCACCAGTAGACCACAGACATCGGGAGCGTGCGTGTTTGTAGGGCTTCTGTCCACCGTGGCGGTGGGTGGGGAAGATGCCATACCCTGGGGAGAGCACTCAGCAGTGATTGGTGAGGCTGAGGGTGGAAGGCCCTGCTCAGCCCTGCCCCACAGGTCTCCTTGGCGGCTCCTGGCTGTGCTCTTTATATCCAACACCAGCTGTGACTGGCAGTGCCAAGTGCCAGGGTCACGGGCCCCATGGCACAACAGAGAAGAAGGGGGCATGGCTTTGAGCTGAAACTGCCCATGCCACCTCAGGTTCTCTCATCTGCACCAGGAACGAAGGTGTAGAGGCCCATGGGATTGTGCCCATGGTCCCCATCACACACACTTCTCTAAGCATGAAGGGCGAGCACCAGAGCAAAAAGGCAGAGCGCTGAGCAAGCAGCTGTCCTGGAGCAGGCTGCACGGACAAGGGCTGGGGGCAGCCTCAAGGAGCCAGCGTCATGGATGTGTCTCCGACCAGACGGGCCGTTGGCCACTGGGGAAGCACTGCTGCTTTCTAGCTTTGCCCAGCTCCTAGCTTGCGACTCTGCAGGTAAGCAGCTTGAGATCCAGAATGGCAGAGGTGGGAACCATGGCCTCAGGCCTATATGTAGACTGTCCACTTTATAGTCTGTCCCCAGTGTCCAGCAGAAAGAGAAGCAACTGAGGAGACAGAAAGATCTGGGGCCCACCTACTTTAACTCTGTCCCAGCTCAGGACGTGGGGCCGGGGCTCTGAGTAAGAAGGGGTCTTGGTCCTGGCCAGCATCCGTCTCTCTGAGCTCCCTGGCTAGCTTCTTGGAGGGCCTTCCTCAAACCCGAGACAACCCCATTAGACGAGGGAGGTCTGGCAAGCTGCCTACCTGGCATTGATGAGATACTGGGCAAGGCTGATGTTGGCCGGGCTTCCGGTGATGGTGATTTGGCGCTCCGATGACCCTTCAGTGGCATTGGCGATTTTGATCTGTGCTCCTGACATCTGTCGAATTTCATTGATTTTGGTCCCCTGGCGTCCAATTATGCAGCCTATTAGCTAGAAGAGAGGATGGAGGGGATGTCTTAGAGAAGAGTGCAGTGCAGAGTGCATGCAAGAGCCCTGCACGGAGAGGACGGGGCTGGGGGGCCCCCATACACGTGAGCTCAGGGCTTCCAGGAGAGACCCTGCATAACTGACATGGCACAGGTGGGTCCTGCACAATGCACGTGACCCATGGGACAACCGTACTGTCCTGATCGTCTGCTTGGGGAGGCCAGATCTCTTCCTGGGGCATTCTGCCTTTAGTTATTCCGCTGCTTGTGTGCAGAGTCCCATGGCTGTGAGAGGCATGGCCAACTCCCTGGCATGGGCCAGGAGGTCTCAGAGCCACATGCCTCATCCCTCTCCCAGCAAAGTTTCATCTGAGCATCCTAGGGTGTCTGGTTGGGGGGTCATGGGAGCTTCTCTCTGATGAGGACCACAGGACGGCAGGCTGGAGACATGCTGGGGGCTCATGGTGGGAGCAAGGGACCCCCCTCGGACCCTGGGCCACAGCACTGCCACACATTGGGGCAGGGAAGTGGCACACTTGATGGGACAAAGCAGAGGTCTTGCCTGGCCTCAAGGCCACACCCTGGGCTTCCCTTCTCCACTCCCTCCACCTTCCCTCAATGACTGAAGAGCCATGTCCATCCAGCCAGTCCCCTTTCAGGTCTCTCCTTTAATTCCAATGGTGTCCACCTCTGCTGCTCAGTCCCAGTGCAGCAGCCCAGCAGCCCACTCCTCTCTTACTCGTCCCTCCTTTCCCTCTTCCTGTCAGTTGCTTCCTGCAGCGCCCTCTCACTGTAGTCTTCAGATAGCCCTTCTCTCTTCTTCCTAGGTCTCTTCTCTCTCACCTGTGTCCCCTGACAGCTGACCTTGTGATGTCTCCAGGGTGCCTCTACCACCCGCAACTTCACACCTGGAGGGCCTAGCATGGATGTCATGGTCCTGAGGTCTGTGGGGTCCTCCAGCCCTTTGCATGAGCCTTTCCCCTCGTTTACGAAGAATGTGTCCCTGCTTTTAGATAAACTGTGGTCTGATGGATGCAGGGCCCTGACTTCAGATACCAGTGCAGCGCATCAGCTAGGAAGAGATGTGAGCAGGATAGAGCTTCATACCCAAGAAGGGAAAATGAGCTATGACTGTCTGCTCAGGACTTTCTCATTTCAGGGCCGGTGGGGTGGTCTGGTCAGGCCCTGGGGCTAAGGATGCCCACTCACAGGCCTCACCTGGAACTGGGTAACCACGGAGATTCAGGGGAGAGTGCTAGCTCCTCCTCCTCGTGTTTAAAGAAAAACTATCAAAAAATTCTGAAGGTACATGTCGTTGTTGTTAGGTACTGTCGAGCTGGTTCTGACTCATAGTGACCCTATGTACAACAGAACAAAATGCTGCCTGTCCTGTGCCATCCTCACATCATTGCTGTGTTTGATCCCATTGTTGCAGCCACTGTGTCAATCCATCTTATTGAGGGTCTTTCTCTTTTACACTGACCCATTACTTTGCCAGGCATGATGTCCTTTTCCAGGAACTGGTCCCTCCCGATAACACGTCCAAAGTAAGTGAGTTGAAGTCTCACTATCCTTGCTTCTAAGGAGCATTCTGGGTGTACTTCTTCCAAGACAGATTTGTTTGTTCTTCTGGCAGTCCATGGTATATCCAGCATTCTTCAACAATACCATAATTCAAATGCATCAATTCTTCAGTCTTCCTTATTCATTGTTGAGCTTCTGCATGTATATGAGGTGACTGAAAATACTATGGCTTGCGCCAGACACACCTTAGTCCTCAAAGTGACACCTTTACTTTTTAACACTTTAAAGAGGTCTTTTGCAGCAGATTTGCCCGATGTGATACACCATTTGATTTCTTGACTACCTTCTGTGGGCATTGATAGTGGATCTAAGTACAATGAAATCCTTGACAACTCCAATCTTTTTTCCATTTATCATGATGTTGCTTATTTGTTCAGCTGTGAGGATTTTTGTTTTATGTTGAGGTGTAATCCATACTGAAGTCTGTAGTCTTCGATCTTCATCAGCAAGTGCTTCAAGTCCTCTTCACATTCAGCAAGCAAAGTTGTGTTATTTGCATATTGCAGGTTATTAATTAGTCTTTCTCCAATCTTGATGCCGTTTTCTTCTTCATATAGTCCAACTTCTCTGATTATTTGCTCAGCATACAGATTGAATAAGTATGGTGAAACGATACAACCCTGATGCACATCTTTTCTGATTTCAAAGCATGTAGTATCCCCCTGTTCTGTTCAAATGACTGAGTCTTGGTCTATGTACAGAATATAGTAAGTGTTCCAGGATTCCCATTCTTCACAGTGTTATCCATAATTTGTTATGATCCACAAAAAATGAATGCCTTTGCACAGTCAACAAAACACAGGTAAACATCTTTCTGGTATTCTCTACTTTTAGCCAGGATCCATGTGACATCAGCGATGATATCCCTGAAGGAACATAGCGTCTCATAACTAAGATTCCAAACTCAAACCCCACAAGACTTTCAGTAACTAACTTCTGGTCTACATCTGCCCCTACAGCCTGCTGGTTGACATGTGGGGTTGTTTTCCCAGCAAGCAGGCCCAGGTGATTGTGTGGATTAGGACCAGGTAGAGGTGCCTGAGCTTCAGCTGGCAGATGCTTGGTGTTGGGGCAGAGCATTAGGTGACCACAGCCCCAGCGATGGCATGGACGTAAGTAGGCTTTGCCATGGGCAATGACCCTCAGAAATGGACACAGGAAATGCTGTCCCATGGTCCTCTGTCCTGACCTATGTTCCCAGGATCGTGAGGGAGGGCTGGACCTTCTGCAGAACTCCATGTTGTTTTGTTTCATTCACAGACGTCCTTGCCATTAAGAAGCACCTTTCTTTCTGGTAAACCATGGTGACTTGTAAGCATCAGCGTAGGCTCCCTGAGATGATCTGATGTTGACCAAGAGGAGAGAGATAGACAAGGCCACAGGTGATTGTCAGAACAAAGACACACGCTGCGGCATGAGGAAAGTGAGGTCTTGGAGGTGGGAGCCACACCCTGCAGCACCCACATTGCTCCACACAAGGGCTCAGTGGTGGTGGGGGGGCGCAGAGAAGAAGCTCCTCTAGCAGAAGGATGATGTCCTCTCACTAGGAATTGCTCTCAAAGGAGGAGAAGCAGCTGTGATAAGCCGGGCCCACATTTGTGTGCTGCCCTGTGTTGGCCCCGTGAAGCAGCACAGACCAGTTCTCCAGAGATACACATACATCCTCTTGTTTGCTAATGTTTATCTCAGGTTGAAAACTAATGCTTGGATGTGAGCAAGATACCCGGTACAAGTGAAACTGCAGTTTAGGTAAGAGGCTGAAAAGAACAAAACCCACAAGGTAGAGCACTCCATTTCCCTTTGTTACTTGAGTGAAGACTCAGGATGCTGCCAGAGGCCTCGATGTTAAAGGAATCATCCACACAGAAGGAGGACGAAGAGAAGGAGAATGAAAATGACAGGTATAAAGAGGGAGAGGGAGAAGAGGAAGGGGCATAAGGCAGAAAGAAGCGAAGGAAGGAGAAAAGGGGGAAGAAGGAGAAGGAAGGAGGGGAGGGAAAAGGGAGAGAAAGGAGGAGGAGGGAGAGGAAGAACAGGGAGGAGGAGGGGGAAGGAAAGGGCAGAATGGGGAAGAAGTGAAAAAGGGAGGGAAGGAGAGGCGAGAAGGGGAGAAAGTGGGAAAAGGGATGTGAAAGCCATCGAAAACAGATGCTCTCTCCCCCCAAGAGTCCACAGTAACACTGCATCCCAGGCAAGAGGTCAGAGGGCTGTGCTTGCCCTAGGTAGAGAAGATGGTTTTGTCCTGATACTGTTTAAGGTGCCTCTGCCAAGTCTCCCCAACCTCAGAGTGCTCTGAGAGTCAGAGGCTGGATGTGCAAAGCCCCTCAGAGGCAGAGTGCCCTGCACTGCTGTGTTGTGAGACATGGGTGAAAAGAGCCTGGGAGCTGCTGGGGTGGGAAGAGGCCACTGCTAGCCTGCCCAGGAGCCCCAGCCTGTAACTGGGTGTGAGGTTCTCTTGAGCTCCTCTTGATCCTGGAAGCAAGGAGGGTTTCTTCTAGCCCTTAACTGGCAGCCTCGTTGGTTGCCCTCTCCATCCCTTTTTTCTTTTCCTCCTTTCATGCTCAGGACTGGTAACCTTCCTGAATTTCCAAATCTATGGTTCCTGTAGGCTACTCCACATGAAGGGAAGAAGCAGGGATAAGGTTTCCTGCACAGCTGGTGTGAGGGCTGACCTGACCATTGCAAAATAATGAAGGTTCCTGAAGCCCACAGCTGTGAGGTAGAAAAGGCCTACTGATATTTGAACTGGAAAGGTGGCACACAGCATCACCACTTTTCACACAAAGGGTTGATTCTTGCTGCTCTGGCAGTTACCCCTCAAGGACATGAGGCCCATCACCACTTCCCATACACAAGGACCATGCTTGCTGCTCTGGCAGTTACCTCTCAAGGACACCTCCCAGGTTCTTGGTTCACGATCATGAGTCAACATTATTAAGATAACCCAAGGATTCATAGACCGGTCCTCCCTCCCCACCACACATGCTTTGCTGGGAGAGAATTGAGCATGTTGAGGGTAGCTCGTAAGGCCACATACCAGTTGTACCCAAGAAGTGAGTGAACTACAGAGTTTTGATACGGGAGTCCAGCCAACCTCATGTCTGCTGAAGACCACCTTGCAGAGAGGGGCATACCTTGAGCAGACTCAGAAAATTCCAACCCCCCCCCTCCCCCACAGAAGGAGCAGGGTACACAGGCTAGGGCTGTGGGGGAATCTATTTCAGAGTGGTCCTGGGTCCCTGCTCTTCAAGGGTTGATCCTGAACCAGGGAAGAACTTTCTCAGCCATGCTGGGTATAGCTGGGATTCTTGGCTCCCTAGCCCAACTATGGCCTCCTGAATTCTAAGCCCCGATGTCCCTTTTGGCCTCTTTTTTGTTTAATATTTTTGGGATGGAAAATCACATACCTTTTATGAGCATTAAACCCGCTTATAATGGGAAAGGAGAAAGGCCAAGTAAAGAAGCACCGCAGAGAGTCATCAACCAACGGGGTGGGAGGAGGGGAAGGTGGGGCAGTGAGTAACCAAGTGGTGGGTCCCTGTTCCCCGCCCCCCGCCCCCAGTGCCAGGGATCTCCACGTGAGTACAGGGAGGTCCAGGGGCATACTCACATCATTGGGAATGGTGAGCTCGTGGGTGCTGGCTGGGGGACTGGCATCCAGACCTGGGCACACCAAAGGGACATGTTAGGCTAGCAGGAACACTGCTCGTGGTCACCCTCACACCGCCCACTTTTGGCTGGGCCAGGTGAGGCCAGGATCAGTGGGCTGCCCAAGGACGGGGCCCCATGGTCCCGAGGCCCCGAGCCCTGTGAGCGTTCAGTCCTGAACTATGGATCCAACTTCCTAATTCCCTCAAAAGAGGGAAAAACAAGTCCAGGTAGAATGGCACTTCACAGTTTCATTTTGGACACGTCATTTTTTCTAACCTTTCTTGATACAATTCACAAACACCCTGGAAAGCCTGGGCTGAATGGCAGGGCCTCAATGTCTCAGGCCTTTGTGGGACATTCCAGGGCATAGGCTAGCTGGTCACAGTGAGGAGGTGGGGCCCCCATAGCTGGCCAAGTGTGCCCATTGTCCCTGCTGGCTAGGAGATGCCCCTCTAGCCTCCTCCTCACCCAGCACCCTGCACAACCTGTGCAACAGCATATCCTCTGGTGGCAGAGGATGGCACTACCTTCTTTTAGTCTCTTGCAGACCTCTGCTGTGGTATGTGACATGTGATATGGGGTGTGTGGCATAGCCTGGGAGTGGGAACGGGATGAAGTTCTGTCCCCCCGCTGGCCCAGTGCTGCTCCTCCAGTTTGGAACAAGGACTCTGGTACCATTTCTTCATTCAAAAATAAATGGCCAGGCAGAATGACAAACTGCATATTCTGTACAGACATCCTTTCTGTGCAGAAGACATGGGTCTAAATGACCATAAAGCCCTGGGTTTTCATCTTCAAAAATCTTAATCTAGTGCATATCGGCATTAAAGTGCAAGATCTAGTCATGCTTGGGAAACAATGACAATGACCCCATGCAGCCCTGGGGCCAGCGTCAGGGGTGGTGGCAGTAACAGGGCTGGGAGAGGCCTTGGGGTGAATGCGGCAGCGGCGGCGGCACGGCCACTCGGGGATGTGGGCCAGGTCTGCTCCTTCAGGCAGCTCTACCCCTGTGCTCATCCAGGAGGCCTAGCAAGCCCACTGAGTCTATGGCCTGGAGCCTGGTCTGCCTCCTGAGACCCTCGTGGAGTCCCTGCATTGCTGGCCCTGCAGCCAGGCCCGGACCCTGGGCACACCCTGGGCTCCATCCACACTTTCTCTCCACCTGCCTGAGGCCAGCCCGTCACAAGCCCCCTGATCTACTTTCAGAAGTGTCTGGGATCTGAGGCTGTGTCCTACCGCACACTGCCACCCTGGTCCCCTACCTGTGCCCTTGCCTCCTGGGTCTCGTCTCCATGGCCTATAGGGTGCCTGGAACACGGCATATCATGAACCAACTCAAAACCCTCCCCTGAAGCTCCTGATTCCTCATGCCCACCCCCCACTCCCTCCACCCACTCTGTTCCAGCCACACGGCCTCCTGTGGACCCCGCCTCCTCTGGGTTCCCTACCTCATTAAGGCCCCTGGTGTTCACAGTCAAACTTCCCGCCTCACTGCATTCCCCACGCTATCCTTGGCTTCCTTTTTCCTCCCCCAACTGTGCCCACTTAAACTAGGCTCTCCTCCTCCTTGTTGGTCTGCCACCCTCCTTAGGGGTGACCTGAGAGGGGGCTGCTTTAGGGGCTGCGGCCTCTGGTCAAGCTCGTGCCTGATGGGAAGTGGAGCTCAGTTGGTAAGTGGTAAAGGAACAATTTGTCCCAAATTGTCTCCATATCCAAGCCTAGAGAGTGTGTTCTTGTGTTCTTTTAACAGAGGTATTTTCAAAGCAGAAATTATCTGGCTGTTCAACTGTCTATGCAGAGTCCACAAATGGTGACATTTAAACTGTCTTAGCCCCGCCTGGGCCCTGCCGGGACTCCCGAGAATGCAGTTAGGATGCACATAAGCAGCGAGTTGCAGCTGCTGAACTGAGCATACGTTCACCAAGGGGAGGAAACTACTATGATTTTTCCAGAGAAGGTACCAGAATTAAACCAGTAACACACATCTACTCAAAGCATGTATTCACTCTTTCAGGACTCCAGGGCAAAGACAGTAATGTTCCAGACATCCGAATATAAGATTTCCCAACATCAGGCCTATGGCGCACAGCATGACCGTCAGCCACTCAGAGGCTGCCACGCCAACACGCCCACTGTCCCCTGTCCTGTTTACCCTGCTGCTGGCGGCTACACACGTGGACATACGCTGCAAGTCCCATGGTGGGGGGCAGCCAGGAGGCCACTGAGGCTGTGGCCTCGACCACATGTCCTGTCCCTGAGACCTGGCAGGGCATGCCAGCACCATGCCGGACGGCAGCTAAGGGGTGTGTTGTGCAGGGCCTTGGAGGGGGTGGCGTGCGTGTGGAAGGCAGGGAGGGGGAGTGCTGGCCCAGCCGAGGAGGTGGTGGGGCAAGCTAGGCGCTTTGAGTCCCCAGGCCCGGCTCAGGACACTGTCGCTGGGTAATTACATGAACCACATGTAAACCGCAGAGGGCTTTACAACAGTGCGACGGTACAAACAGGAACGCTGTAAGAAACTAGGTATGGGATTCTGTAACGGCTGCTGTCCTTTTCCATCATCAAAACACTCTAAAAGTATGTGTCTCTAATTTTCATCGATCACACTTGCGCTCAATTAACTTGATTAAGTACAACCTATTCTGAGGGCCTGGAGACCCAGAGCAGAGTCTCAGCCACTGCTGTGCCCTCAGCTGACAGGGTCCTCTCCTTCCCCAGGCTCTTCCCAAACGGACTACCGTGCGGGAAGGCACTGAGGAAGGGGGGCGGTGAGACACTGGAGGGGATGTGGAGCCTCAGCCCCGCGGTGGCCCCAAAACACAGCAAAGGGGAGTGGTGATATCTGAGACCACACACACGCTTGTCTCATGCGTGTTCCCCTGTAGATAGACCGGCACTTTCTGCTTGGATCCAGGATCTCAGTGTGGCTAGTTTGGAAAGCGGGTGGCAGCCATCTCTGTCAGGGAGGTGCACTGGACCCCAAGAGACCCTCCTGTACCCCATACTCTCCCCACTCACTACCAAACCATCTGTCTAATTCCCTCATTGACATAACCTTATTGGCTCCTCTGTGGGAACAAGCTCCCCACTGTGAATCAGGGGGACAGACAGAACCCAGCACAGTGACTTCTCTGGAAGGGAGGGGTTGACACTGTCAAATGACACTGTCTTCATGGCAGGCTCCCTGGGTGCTGCTCCACCACAAGGGTAAAATGACCAGAGAGCCCGGCCCACAGCCTTCCCTCTGTGCTGGTGTCACAGGGCCACAGCTGATGACCAAGGCAGCTGTGCCCTGGGGTGGGGCACCCTTAGAACTCCGCTCACATC